AGAAATGTAAAAACCCTCACTAAACTTAGCACAGAAGTAAGTTCCAGCACCTAGAGAATCATTGGATGATTGACAGCAGGGGCGGAAAGTTATGCATTAGGCTATAATGGAAACTCATAAATAGCTTCTGCTTTACGCCACAAAAGCTCCAAGGGAGAGTCACAACAAAGCGTCTCTCATTAGAATAAAAACAGGAGCAGCATTGTTTCAGTGTTGGTTTGTTTTGCTAAGCCGAGTTTCTATTTAAAGCCTCCAAATAAGGCTGTGATGTTGTGATGCCGTACCCTTTTACTCTGGGGAAACTGAGGCTTAGCAAGGCTCGGCGGCTCACTGGTTATGTGACTTACTAATATGTTGGAGCTGGAGTTTGGCCGAATGTGTGTGACTCCATGCTCACGGTTTCCACTGTGGCCCAAGCTAAGGAAATTATAGGCTAGAGACATAGTCAGCAGTTACTCATTGAAACCAGGGACAGCCTGGGCACAGCAAACGCTTGAAACCAATGCAGCCATAAAGAGGACGTTGGTCATCTGACACTGAGTTACTTAACCTCTGTGGCCCTTGGTGTCTTCATCTGTAAACGTGAGGTTGATATGGTATGTGTGTGTGTGTGTTGGGGGGGTTGCTGTTAAAAAAAAAAGGTGGTGTGTGTGTATTGTAATAGATATACACACAGCCATCGTACACACAATATACAAGAGGCAGCTCTGTCAATCAGCCAGGCCCTTTTATAAAGCTGTAAGCTGAACAAAAATAACGAGAGCTATAAACATGTTTATGTCTTTGGCGCTGGAGTTCTATTTTTGGAAACATAGCCTAAAGAAATGATTCAAAGCACAAATAGAAAAGAGTAGTTTTAATTACAGGAGAAAATAGTAAAAATATACCCAAGACCTCACATGTGTTCCCGTTTGCATCACTGATGGGGCGTTGCGTTTTTACTGCATGGTGGCAATCCTGACTACATCAAACGGCTGGAAATATACAAGGCAGGATGGGAAGAGGGCCCACGGGTCTGCTACAATGCAGTGTGCTCGCTAAACACACATGCATTTGGCATGTGTTTTCCTGGCAGGAAGCTCACCTATGGGAGGAGGTCCTAGTAGTAAGGTCTTTTCCAAGCAGCCCCTACTTTAATGTTCTAGGTGATGATAGCTTGGGGGTGGGTACAGCTCTTAGGGAAGTTCACAAAGCATGGTAGATGAATAAGGACATTCAATATTCATTGTAAAACACCCAGGGAAGGGAAATTTATATGCAGAGATTTTGGGGTGCGGGCAGGGAGGTGGGCGAGGACTGAGATACAGAAAAATGTGTAAACAGGACAGGTTTGTCTGGGAAACCTAAAAGTTGGGATGCTCTCCACATTGACCCCCGCTCCCACTCCGATGAGGGGGGGGGGACCCCTGTCTGCTCAGAATCCTGTGATAATAATAACCAAAGAGGGAGGAGGCGAGCCTTGAGCAGACACAGTTCACTAAAGTTCAGCCAGACTGCACTCATGTGTCGCAAAAGGGAGGAAGTCTAGTCAACCCCGGATGAGTCAACCCATAGCTGCCCTCCACCCTACCCTCCTCCTCAAGGAAGGGACGGTGCTGGCCTGGGAGGGGCAAGTCCAAAGGGACTTAGTCCCTCATCAGTCAGGCTGGGGGAGAGGCAGATAGAGCAGGGGCCTGGGCGGTGACAGCTATCTATCTGCCTCACATCTAGATTCAGAGACGTCTCCCCGCTCTTTTTCCACAGGTTGTTTGAGATATCCAAGCTCCCTAGTAGGTACCCGGAACCGGATGTGGTTCTGGAGCTCTGTGATGAGCAGCTAAGGTGGTCTCTCAGCAGTTCCTTAGGAATACCGACACTACCTACGCAAGCTTCTGATATGCTTGCTCCCCATTTCAAATAAGGAAAAAAGGGGTCGGGGGAGGCTAGCTAGAGAAATGGTAACCCTTGCTAGAATCTGCTTCCAAGGCAAAACAGGCTAGCTCCCAGCTCACTTGGAGGAGTGGAGAAGAGGGTGGGAGAGCTGTTGGGGTTAAATAGCCGTGTTTTATCCAGAGTATAAAAATAAGGCCCTGTAGGAAAAGTTTGTTTAGATCCTTTAGCTGCCCAGTGATGGACCTTAAGCAGATGTGCCCTGACAGACCCTCTCCCCCTTCAATAAGGTGAAGACCCAGATGGTCTTTCTCTTCCTTCAAAGCCCTGGTTACTTCTGTCTTTTCATACAAAGGGCCACTCATATTTCCGGCTGTAGGACGAACACTGAAGATTGCAATTCTATCCGGAGGTCTTTGATGCCTTGCTAGCCTGAGAAGCCCAGTCAGAAAGTTAGAGCAGGTAGCTCTCTCCACATATACCCCCGGACACCCCTTGGGGACCACTGACTTTCATACACACCCCCTTGGGGATCAGGGACTTTTACAACTCCTTGGGAGAGCTTGGGGATTTATCATGGGAAGATAAGAAGTGATAATTGCTTTCACTTTACAGAGGTCTGGGAGGATGGCTAATTTCCGCTGCAGGGAAGGGGCTCAACATGGCTGTTTCTCTCTTTATTCCACATCTATCCTAAGTGCTCTCATTCCCCACAGTCAGCGTGTGTGAAGTTGAGGGCAGCACTGTTCATGCCAGCCAGCCATGTAAGCAATTCAGCACTGAAAAGGGAACAAACTGAGAAAATCCTGAGGTGAACACAGGGGACAGGAAAGAGGAAAGTCTTTTCATCGTTACTATGTGCGCGACGCTAGTCGTCATTTTGCATATGGACCCATGCAGCCCAGAATCATACTTTCCCACCAAACAAACGGTTTATACGTAAGGAATCTGTGTTTTGCAAATGCTCTGTTCTTTTAGTCTCAAGTGTACCCAGCGCAGGGGGATCAAGGGGATGTTTGGCCTGCAGAAAAACAGGCTGCCCAAGCCCCCAAGAAAGCTAGTTTCGCGTTGCTATAGCAACTGAAGGGCAGCGTTCTCAAATTCATCTGCTGCTTCTAACATATTGACTTCTTCCAAACCCAGTCATGTTTCTCCATCATCAACAGTGCAAGCTTTATTTTCATTTGAAAAAATAAAAAAAAGCAAACACCCAATAACTACGAAAAAAGTGGTTTCAGTCTCAAGTTAATACATTTATTTAGGCCTTTTTCCTAGTGCAATCCAGTGTCTTTTTATCTCTAGAAGGAGGAAGTTGTAATGGGATCCTTTAGAATCCTATAGAACTTTCACTCATAATATGGTTGGGGCTTGTGCCAGTGGGGTTTGACGGTAATTACACTTTGATGGCTGGAACATGACCTGTGAAATGAATTGCTGGTCTCCGTTTAACTCCTAATGGACAGCAGGCTGCCTCCCTGGGCATCTGAGCACAGCCCCCACTTTCCGGCCTCTGCAGTCAGAGTTTGGCATGATTTCTCTTGAGGGGAAATTGCAGAACCTCCTTCCAGGCAATTATGCTTTGTCCTTCTGGGCCACAGGTATCTCTACACTCCGTCTCAGAATGCTCTGCGAGATGTGTGTAAATAACACAAGCCATATTCATAGGCAGGGCCACCCCGGTGGAGAGCGTGTGATCTGCCCTAGTGGGGTGACGGGAAGGTAATTCGTAGCAGCAGGGAGGGAGATTCTAAACCAGTGGGAAAAAAAATCTTCCTTGCCTCAAGGAACACAGCCAATTAAGGGACAGCAGGAGGTAGAGATGTGTCAATATTTGCTGATTTATTATTAAAGTTCATTTTTATTTTATGGGGTAGGCTGATATGTTTAGTTCCTTTTTTCCCCTTTTGGTTAAGAAGTCTTTCACCGTCCCTTCTCTATCAAGACTACAAGAGATAAATACGTGTCATGAGAAATGTGAGTTTGGATTGGAGGCAGTTGGGTCTAATAGCATATCATGGAAATTCGTAAAGACGTGAAAAGTTTCAGTTGTCTGAAGGAGAACTTACCTATGGAAGAAAGATCTTACATCAGAGGTTCTCAATCTCCATAAGGCTGTGACCCTTTAATACAGTTCCTTATGTTGTAGTGACCCCCAACCATAAATTTACTTTTGTTGCTACTTTGTAACTGTAATTTTGCTATGAGTTTTGTTATTTGCTCTGAAATTTGCTATGAATCGTAATGTAAATATCTGATATACAGAGTATACGGTATTCGACCCCCGGGATAGAGTCGACTGACCCCACAGGGGGTTGCAATCCACAGATGGAGAATCACTGACCTCCACTATGGAAGGACCCATGTTAGATAGTGAAGCCACAAGGAAAGCAAGACTTAAGTCCCATCCTCAGTAGCCCACATTCCCAGGGGAACACAGTAACGGGTTGTGTTCTCTAGCAATTTGGCTCAGTGGGACCTGTGGCACAGAGAAACCTATCCCGCTTGCCTGTGAAGCAGTCATGTGCTTCCTTGGGAATCTGATCTGGGCTTTACAGTATGGGTGGGAATTCCTGGGCAGACCCTGAAGAAAAGGTATTAAGAACCACGAGTTGCACAAAGACGCTGGGGACTTGCGGCAGTCACGTGGAACGATGCAGCTTGAGGTTTGTGATAACTGCGGGAGAGAGTTGGAGCTGAGGCTGAAAGAGTCAGTGGGGTCTCTTCAGTGAGTTCTGAGCCGAGAGTCAAGAACTTTGGAAATCTTGCCACATGGGCATTAAAAACCGGAGACTTCCGAGTGCTGTTTCTAGACAATGAGATTGGAATCTTATATGCTGACCTAAGTCCTAGAAAGATCTTATAACAGATAAAGCAGAAATATTCTGAATTTCTGTCAACACTTATCTGTGAATTCTTTGGACATGTGGTAAGTGGTTTTGTAATGTGTCCCTGTACAAGGTTAAATGGGTTTGCACAGGCAGCAGCCTGAAGCAACCCTGTGAAAATGCTGGCTCAGGCATTTCAATGTCACCCATTGCATTTAGTGCTGGAGGCAGTTTTGAGGCAGGGAATGGGCTTCTCCCTGCAGGAGAGCCCCCACAGTCTGAAATCTCTGTCTTTCTGTTCTGCAGGAGCAGCGATGGACGCCTGTGTACTGCAGCCTCGCTGCCGCGTGCCTCAAGAGCCCTCTGATTGAGAAGCCGGGAGAGAAAGTAAGACTGCTTTCTCATCTTGTTGAATGTCATAACTTGAGCAAAATGGCCGTCCTTTCTTTTCGTCTCGAGCCATCGGGGGAATTGATCCAATCCATCTCATAAGAGTAGTTGTTAAAAGTCCTGAACTTCAACTTTTTGGTTGCTACTAGTGTCAGAGTGTTGAGTCCGACAGACATGGGTGGAATACCCTTGACCTCAGCATCTGCCTCCCCTTCCATCCCAGTGAATCCTCTCCACCTCAGTCTCTTGAGCTTCCTTGTCCCTCAGGGCTTGTTAGAAGGATGCGGGTACATTTACAGTCCCAGCATGTTAGCGTAATGTTCAGACACAACTCTTTGTTTTAAAATATGTGTCATATAAGCCGTCTTGTAGCATTAAGATGTTGCCACTAAAAGTTGGTGTGGGTCATGAACTTCTCTTCTGGACTTGGAATCAGACCCATGCAGGACTCGTGCAACGGGAAGCGTGGGGGCTTTCTGGAGTTGTACGGGTTTGGCTCAAATCCAAGGTCTGGTCTCTACTAGCTCTAGATTTTGAGCAAGTTCCTGTTAGAAGAACTGCTCATATACCAGGCCTGTTTTTTTTTTTTTGGGGGGGGGGCTGTTGCAAAGGTGAAATATTTTACTCCATATCCACAACGCAAGTGGTTTTTTTTTTTTTTAAACTTGTCTTGTTTTCTGTCTAGCCATGTATTGAATGGGTTATGCAAATGAGTTAACTGAGCAAAATGGAAAGTTAAATAGTAAGTTTGGGCAAAGCACATTTCCAGCTGGCTGAACTGGAGAAACTGGAAGGCAACAATACTCTTTAGAATGGTGAAGAGAACCGGGCAGTGGTGGTGCATGTCTTTAATCCCAGCTCCTGGGAGGCAGAGGCAGGCGGATCTCAGGGAGCACAAGGTAAGCCTGGTCTACAAAGCGAGTTCCAGGGTAGGCCAAGACTATTACATAGTGTAACACTGTCTTGAAAAAAAGAAAGGAAGGAAGGAAAACAAAGAGAGAAAGAAAGAAAGAAAGAAAGAAAGAAAGAAAGAAAGAAAGAAAGAAAAAGGGGGGAGGAGGGAAGGAAGGAAAGAAAGGTGAAGACAGCCCTGCTGAGTAGCTCAGGCATTTTCCAGGTACAACTTCACACAGGGCACAATGCACCTGGTTCCCCACAGCCTGCCTGCCTTTAGCCGTTGAGATGCCTCTATACACAATCCAATGCCGATGATGAATCATAGTCTTTGGGAAAGAGAAACAAAATACATAAAAATTCTTTAAACGGTCTTTCATAGATGCATATGGGCGAGCCAGTTCTTACAATCTTTATAGCATGATGGGTCTCTCTCCCTGCCTAGCTCCAGTGATTTGGCCCCCGTTCTGCATTCCGCCCATGGCCTTGGTCTGTAGGTTGAAATCTGCATGAGGAAGCCTGCCTCCGACTGTGGTGTCAGCAGGCCTGACATTGAGCAGACGTGGCAGGGAAGAGGCCAAGCTTCCTGAGACTGCGTTCTCTCAGTGTTCAGTGAGGTCTGGACTTCCCCTCTGCTGACTTCGCTTCAGTGAAAGGAGTTTCATTTGTCCTGAGGATGAAACCAGCCAACAAACCAAAATACTGCTCACAAAATGCTCTGGCAATCGCTTCAGCGCTCATTGCTTCTCTCAGCTGCTGGCCCCTCCGGTCCATAGACTCCTAATAAACCACCACTTTGTCTGAGAAGAGAGGGCGAGTCCAACAGAAGTTCATGCACCTCAGAGAGGTCTCTCTTGACCAACTGAAAGGGACTAAGGTCCAGTATGGCCACTCTGGGTCCAGGGACATGGTTTCTCTGAGTGGCCCTCAGGTTCTTCTCACCTGCTCTTCAGTGAGCACAGTTATTTCTGTGTTTTTCCAAAACTGTTGGGTTGAGATGGACCCAAAAGGACATTTATGCCCTCTCTTTTCTCACGGCCCTGACTTCTGGACTTAATATAGCTGTTGTAAAGTACTCTAGTGAGTTTACTTCTCCATCGCTCTGATATCCATGACCTGGTGGAAGTGCAGGGGAGATCTATGACCCTGACAGCAAAAGCAGCTTTCAGGGTTCAGTTACAGGAGTCAAGGGAAGATACTTGATGTGGGCACTTGGCACTGACCGCTACTCTGCTCAGAATCCAGCCTGCCCTCCTCACTGCAAAAGCTTTCCTGAGGGTAGAAGACAGAAAACTAGACCTACATGGAAGTTCCACACCCAGATGAAGCTGTCCCAACTGAATTCAGAGCCAGTGTTTCCTCGCAGGGGAGAAAGTAGGGTCTTACAAAAATGCCAGCTAGACAGACACTTCCCGTGTGAGTTCATAGTAGAAGGAAAGAATATTTGGGAGCCAACTGTAGTAAAGCCCCTAAAGGATAACTCTGTTTTTAATAGCCATGATCGGAGTAAAGCAGGGACACTTTTGAATGCTAGCTGAAAAGGAGAAGCATAAAAAAAAAAAATCACTGTAGGCAGCAGGCACGCAAGCTGAAAGTATGTGAGCATTCACCTGCAGATAAAGGAGAGCCAGGTGTTTTAGCTCTACATAACTGGAGTCACTGCCTTTCACGTGGAACATACAAATTTATGGAAATAAGAATGCAAATGTTAAAAATATGCATTTTGGGGTTTCCTGGGAATAGCCTGGCAGCCCTGTTTTCCTTCTCTTTTCAGCTGTTCAAGATCCCGTTGTGAAAGCTGGAGTTGAACTCAGCAGGGCAGACTCAGCAGTGTTATGGCTAGAGGACTGTGTGACCTGGGGGAGGGGATGCTTTCTTGAGTTGAATCAGGGTAGAGTATTTAAGAATGTTTGATGGTAAATATGCTATTCCTTAGAGGTTGCTCAGATTACAGCAAATGCAAAAAAAGAAAAAGATTTCTGGCTTTAAATAAATTAATTCGAGACTGAAAGTGGACGGTTCAAGAGGAACTAGCCAATGATGGCAGAGATCCAAAGACCCAAGGATATAGGTAGCATTAAGGGGTGGTGTGAAACTTCACCCCTTAGGTCTCTGAAATTTTCTGTTAATCCCAGAAGGCATTGTGCAAATGCCTTGGACCCCACAACCCTCACAGGCCTTGGGACAAGGAAGCAAACAGAGTCATTTGGATTAGGGACTGCCCATGACCATGGTGAGGCCAACTTGTCTTTCTCAAAGGAATTCAGATGGTAGGTAGACATATCTTGGCTCCAGAGAGATGTAACTTGAAGACTCTATTGGACTGGGGGAGAAGACAGAGAGAGATACAGCCTAAGAGCAGAGTTGTGTTATTAAATGGAAGGGTGCGGATGAGAAAGTAAACATGCTCCCTGGACCCTTTTGTGCTTCTGGGTGAGCGAAGGGGAAGCTGAAGGAGCCAGGTGGAAGTGGCTGGATAAACACCAGATAAAAAGAGAGGGACGGAGGGACGGGGGACCGCAGAGTCAACAGTGCTGCTGCGTGTCAAAGCTTGGAGGCATCTGTGGGAAGAAAGAATAGGGGCGTCCTTTGTACAGATAAAACTGTTCTTACTAAACAGCATTGAGCCTTGTAAATGAGGGGCATGGTCTTCTATGGCACAGCCCTTTCCTGATTGTGATATGTCACCCGGGTCTGGGTGAACACCACCAGTCTTTAAGTGCCGTGGAACTTTATATTTATTAATGAGAGTCTTGGTGACCCAAATAGATGAAGATGCTAACCCCAGAACCAGTCTGTGGTCTACTACTGTTTAAACAAAAACTACCTAAAGGCACAGGAACAATCAGTAGGTTGTTCTTAGGGAAGCAAGGCATCCATTCTATAGCTATAGTAATAGAGGAGCCTACATTTTGTACATAAGAACACCTGATTTAGTTTCGTCTCTTCTCTGTGTGCTTCTGGCCATCGAGGCAAAATGAATTAAGCTAAATATTTGTCTTCTGGGAGTTTCTGTGACAAGAAGAAAATCGTCAAGCTGCCGGGTCTGTTTTCTTCTGCCTCTAAAATAATGGCGGTTTTAGTTGGGCATGTGTCCAAGATAAGAGTACACTCTTAGCCCCTTTAGCATCTAGACATGGCTGGACCTAGATTACAACCACTGGGAAGTGAATGAAAATGATATTTGCAAACCCTATCCCTTTTACTGGGTGTGCCATATGGAGGTGGCAACCAAAGCTGGAATTGCTCTACTGGACTGAGACAGGATAGCAGAGGGGCCGCACTGAAGACTTAGGGTCTCTGACTCTGGAGTCTTTGACTGCTTAGACTTGCTTAAGGCAGACATTGCCTTCCATCTTGTTTGCACCTGTACCCTTTGGGTGCTGGTATTGTTGCTACGGTATGATATCCAAGTCAGCAGTTACCTAGAGCAGAGGAGAGAGCAGCTGCCTGCACCGTTGAGGCATTCAGTGTCCAGCAGCTAATGGATGAAATGTGGGAGGAACTGAGTTGTGAGCATCTTCTATCTAAATCCAGCCTGGGGATGGGGAGGCAGAGAAGCTCACACTGACCTCTGAGATAGGGTGATGGGTAAGACCCTGTCTTCAAGGACTGAAGGGAACGTACCTGGGTTATCTGGATTCAAAGAAATTCCCAGAACTGAGGCCCATAACATTTGTTTGAAAATATTCAGGAACTATAGTAGATAAGTGGGCAAGGGGTCCAACTGTGTTCTAAATGCTGATGTTTAAGGGCTAATGAGAAGACTCAGAAAATAAAGGCACGTGTCACCAAGTCTGACAACCTGGGTTTGATCCCCAGGATCTACATGGTGGGAGGAAAGAAAGAACTGAGTTTTGTAAGTTGTCCTGTGACCTTCACATGTGTATACCATGTGTGCTGTGTGTGTGTGCATATGCAGAAAATGAACAAGTAGAAGTAGACATAGTTAATGTTTTGAATGCGTATGCTTGCACCCCTAGGATAAAGCTGACCTTAGGCTCTATCAGAGACACGGTTCTTTCTCTGCTGTGGTTAATGTAGAGACTCACAAGGGCAGGAGAATGCTTGATCCTAAATGGGACATCACCCCTCCATGGTCA